TCTTCTCTGGACTATTTAATTGGATGTAACTGGACTCCCCAGTGAGTGATGATGAGACGCAGCACTTTTTTTATTATAGCTTGATTCCACACCGTTTTTCTGGTACAAATATTGAATTTTCAGAATATGATATTGGTAGCCCAAACTTTTCAGGCCGACCAATTGATGTCAGGTATGCGTCAGCAGGGGTCCAACCCCGGACCATGTTCATGGTCGATGAGAGTTCAATCAGTTGACAGGAAAACCTAATATTCAATTAAATAATAATATGACCCGTTGCACAAAAGCCAGTGGCTTTCGTGGCCCAAGTGGTGTTCTAGTGGATAACGCTGTGGCGTTTCAAACTATGGCCACTGGGTTCGAGACTTGGTGTGGGGAACATCATCACTCACTGAGTAGGAAATGCAGGTACATCCAGCCAGCGGATGAGTCCCAAATAGGACGAAATGCGCCTCTCTGGACTGTTTGTTCTTATTTCTTATACCCATGATCAATATGTCACTAATTGAGAACAAATTATTGTCTCAATTTCAGTTCATTTTGTCTTCAACAAATTGTATATGTATGTACGTATGTATGAATTGTCTAACGAGGTGCTGAATAGCCCTCACCTTAAATATCTTCCAACAAAAAGACCACAGGATAGAACTAAATTGAATTTTCAACCTACAGCTTCATACAAAATTTCAGTGGTCGAAGATGCCAAACACCATCAAAAAAAAAACAACTCATAAAATGTAGAGTGTATAGGAGATTCATGTACAAATTGCATAGATCCGTCAGGTCACAAAAAGTACATCTGTGAATCTGATTCTGTGCGAGTAATCTTCAGTCATGTCAGTAACAATTTCAACTCTTCAAAGACTCTAGGATGGAGATTACACCCGATTGGATGTTTGGAATAATCACCGTTAACTAATTTCTTATCTAATCCTGTCAACTATTATTATTGTCTATATGTAGTGATTTTTGCTATGCTCTATAAACAAATTAACTAAACAGAAAGTTCAACAACTCGATAAGAAAATGATAATCGAATACCATGTTACATGGTAGTGTCATAATCAGTAAAGTGTATGAGCAGCAACTATGACTCCAGTCGAGTTCAATATATTTGGGATACTTATTACTGAGATTATTAAAACCTACAGCTTTGCAAAATTTGACAATTGATGCTGAATAACTTGAATTGGTTAATGTCAACCAATTAATCTGAAGTTACACAGTCAAGAATGTACGTCTATTAGATGTGTCACAGAGACACTGAAACAGTATTATTTACTGGATGATGAAGTTGAGAACACAATTTATTATTATTCATAATCATACCATCAATTATAATTACACAGCTTCGAAACTTGAGTTTTATAGTTTTCTTTGTCCTCTCCTATTTGTCGTCGTAGGCGTGGTATCAGAATTTACCAGATATCTGAGTGGACATGTGTTGAATCATTCTGATTACATGTATTACTTGTCAGTTCATTCGATAAACAAAGCTCTTGTTATCAATATCTCCCTCCACGCAGTTGTTACATTAGATTTTAAAACTGTCATCTTATCCCATCCCATTGTTTGGTTGTGTGTAATTTCATGTAGTGAGTGCTAAAGCTGAACTGTTCTCCAGATTTCTTATCTTATTCGGGTCAACAGTTTTAAAATCTAATGTCACAACAGGTTGGAGGGAGAGAATGATAACAGAAGCTTTGTTTATCGAATCAACTGAGAGAGAATACATGTAATAGGAATGATTCAACACATGTCCACTCAGATATCTGGAAAATTCTAATACCACGCCTACGACAACAACTAGGAGAGAATAAAGAAAACTATGAAACTCAAGTTTCAAAGTCGTGTGATTAAAACTGATATGATTATGAGCATAAAATTTTGTTCGAAACTTTATCATCCAGTAAATAATAATACTGTTTCAGTGACTGTATGATACATCTAATAAACAAACTAATATTGAATTACTTACTAATACAGTGTTCAAGTTCTATAAAGATATATTAAAAATCTACGTCATTTGGTAAACTGATGTATTATATCCAGTTATTCGTGTGGTCACCCGCATTATAATTTTCTGATCCTAAAATGTATTCCATATTTTAGACGATCAGTCTCTGACTTTAATCTAACTCTGGTCTATGTATGAACAATTACTTTATGTAGGGGGTGGGAGTTGAAGGATATTCATTTGCTTTTTTCCACATGACATATCTTCCATACCCGTTGATATCCTTCCTCTTTTAAACTGATCGGCCTGACGTGATGTATACAATGTTATACAGCATAAATGTAAACCACAAAGAACCTGTGGCTGGTAACCACAGGTTCTTTCGAAAAATGCATCTTTCTCTAGATCATGAAGTGACTACCAGACAGTGACTAAAATCACATCGTTAAAATGATCAAAACTAATGACACTAATAAACTATGAATTACATAACCTTATGTCATTCGTTTTCGTGAACCAAATAAGATCTCTTTTAGGAACCATTTCGTGAGATGACAAGATAAGTGAGTCATAATTCATCTATGTAGTCATTAAAATCAGAAGTCTATTCAGCTAATACGTCTGTCTACGCACCATACTTCAATCGATTCACAAATGACTAGGCAATAGCGCTAATATACCCCCATAAAAAGCTGTACGCGGCATATTTTGTCGATATTTGGTGTCGGAAATTGATTGTGTAAGGTAACAAGGTAACATTTCTTGGAGAAACGATTACGACAGCGGATGTCGATTGATTATCTTCCTTGTAAAAAGACATCGTGACCATTCACAAAGAAAAGGATGATAATAATAGCTAATGTCAGTAAAACGTTTAAGCACTGTGGAACTGATCAAATAAAGTATAATTATATTTCAATGGTTTACACATAATGATAAGTTCTTTTTGTGTTTTCGTAATATTTCGAGTAAAATTACTGCCCGTGTTCACACCACCAACTGTTGGAATTGTTTTGTTCACACATTTATGATTTGTACTCATTCATACACATATAGTTCATTTTCGACAGTTGTACTGCCCAGTCACCCTTGTTACGTGTATCAGGTGTGATCTTAATGAGAATATAGATTCTGTTATAAGTCGTCTCTCTTGCCATTTGTTTATATTAGATTTCAGAATACAAACATATTGTTCCGAATTTTAGTGTGGTTTTCAGTCCCATGATGCTGCATGTGCAGCTATAGATGAATTTTATTTTTCTAAATTCTTGTAAGCCTGTATTCCTGTAGGATGGATGACCTTTAGTCTGTTAGGCGTTTATATGTTCATTCACTGGATTTATGAGTAATGATCTGGATGGTTGACTCACATATTAAGTCGGACACTCGGTACAAGATATCTTTTTGTAAAATTACATTGCTGCTTTTATCCATCATTTTTATGGGATCTTTCAGCTGATTTATTTCATTTCTAATTAGATTCTTCGGTATAAACGTCGTGAGAATCTCAATATTTGTGAGGTTTCTCCGAATAACCTCTGATGTACCATTTTTGTATGGTATTGTGACTGTTTTTTTGCATTCTTCCGTCTTGTCATTCTCCAGTTTTATCCTCTTTTTTGATATATTATCTTTGATAAATTCTTTTGGGTAGTTGTTGTCGAGTAACATTTTGAATAGGACGTTTATTTCTTTACGCCGGTCCTCTGGTGTTGTTATAAGCCATTGCATTAATCCTCGTTTTACCGTGGGTGGATGAGCTGAGTGATAATCAAGGAATCTTCTAGTGTGTAGCTTTTTCTATATAACGCTGTGTTTATGCCACCTACCATCTGTTATTCTTTGTATTTTGCAGTCTATGTAGCATAGACAGTTCCCCAATTTCATTCTCTATTTCCATAGAGAATTTTATTGAGTCGACATGACTGTTCATGTGTGCGAGAAGAATTTCTCAACATCGTTTTTTTCTTTACATTATTACTAACGTGTCGTCTACATATCTCCACCAACATTTTATTGATGACCTGAATGGTTTAAGTGCATTCTCTTCCCAAATTTCCATGAAAATATCAGCTTTTATTATTAATGAGATGGGTGATCCCATAGCTACTCCTCCTTCATTCTGTTGGTATATTTCTCTTTCAAATGTAAAATTGGTTGTTGTCAGACAGAATTCCAACCCTTTTATTATCTCCCCCTACAGATAATTTCTATAGTTTACACACAATGGTGCTTTTTTTATTTCTTAGCAATTCGATGAAATCTCAAAAATATTGGGATTCGCACAACATTTAAACTCACGAATCTAATTAAAAACAAAATAAATCAGCTGAAAGATCCTATAAAAATGATGGATAAAAGCAGCAATGTAATTTACAAACAGATATGTTGTGCCGAGTGTTCGACTAAATATGTGGGTGAAACGTCCAGATCATCATTCAAAATAAGACTGAATGAACATATAAACGCCTAACAGACTAAAGGTCATCCATTTCACAGGAACACAAGCTTCCAAGAATTTAGAAACTAAAATTCATCTATAACTGCAGATGCATCATGGAACAAAAACCACAATATCGATTGGAACAATGTGTTTGTATTCTTAAAACGAATATGAACAAATGGAAAGAGAGACTACTAATAACAGAATCTATTTTCGCATTAAGATTACACTGGATACATGTAACAAGAGTGATTGGGCAGCACAACTGACAATAGCCTGGAATATTATAATTTTGGATACATAAAATGAATCAATAAAAAAGTAATGATATCCATCCCTGATCAACTCATAAAAACAAAACTAACCCTTACAAACCAAACTGTAGAGAACTATATGTGTGTGAATACAAGTCATGAATGTGTGAATTGAAAAACGAAGCCATTTCAACAGCTGGTGGTGTGAAGATGGGCAGTAATTTTGCTGCAAATATTAGCGAAACACAAAAAAACTTATCACTGAGTGTAAACTATTGAAGTATAATTATACTTTATTTAATATTAATAATAAGAATAATAATAAAGTAATTTTATCATTACTTACCTGGAAATCTTTCAGATGCAGATCTAACAAATCTTGGAGATTGATTTGTCCGAGGACTTGTTGATCGAATAGCTGGTGAAGCTTTTGCTGTAATTACATTCGATGACTGTGAAGTCCAACTGTTGGCAATCATCGCTTTACTGTTCATCGTCTCTTTATTAATGTTAGGCATTTTTTCAGGGAAGAATTCACGTTTCTCATCGGTTAACTTTGATGATGATGAAATTAATGGTGGAAGCGATAAAGGTAGCTGAGGTGGAGGTGGTTGTGGTTGACCTGGAGGTGGCGATGAAGAAGATCCAGTCGTATTTGTGAAGGATTCGCCTTTTCTTGAGTACTCTTCACTTTCGTCTGTTTCATCCATGATGGTGCATCGAACAATAGATAGTCAACTTTTTGTACTCCCCATTTGGTTTAATCCTTGTATCTGTTAAATTAGTATTATTATTCGTGTTACTAATACTCAATAGTGTTGCTGACTTGTCAATATTTGTCGACGTCTTTTCAAAAATTTTTGATGCGAAAACTTCATTGTCTGTGTCAATGATTGTACGACTTTTTATGGGTACATGACTATTATTATTACTACTATAAGTATTTGTAGCCAACATGGGGAATACTTGAACGTCATTTGGCTGTTGATGTTGTTGATGATGAGGACGGCGAATTCCTCCAGGTGATGTTAGTGTTTCTTCTACTTCATTGGCAAGATACCGACGTGAGTATAGATTGCCTTCGTGCTGTTGTGCGTCGTGTACTTCTTCTCCTTCTTCTTCGTGATCATGTTCTTGTGAATGACGAAAATGTTTAATTTTCGAGTTGTACGCATGACTTTTAAACAGTTTATCCTCTCTTTTATTACCAGCAGCAATTGGAGTTGTAGTAGTTTCAGTAGCCATTATGCAAAAATTGATAAAATCATTACTAAACAAGGACGTGGACAAGGCGGAGAAGGAGCATTAAGAAATCGAAGTGTACATACAAGTGATTTGTGGTTTCATTCAATCATTATCGTCTTTCTTCAGCTTTGAAATTTTATTTATTAACACTGTGTAGTATAGAATGTATTGAAGCAAGTAAACCCACCAAACGATTGAATTGTATAATCCACAATTATTAGATAAAAAGATTAGAATATATGTGAGTAGGATTGGATTAATTAAAAAGAATTATTATTATTTTTATTATTAATAAGAATATTAAGAATTATATAGATACAAGATACATTTCGCCACACTTGATAGTATCATTATTAGCGCTGTTATTAATATTAGTATTACTAATATTATTAATAATAATATTAAGAAAAATATGTCAATAGAGTATCACTGTGCGTCAAGTGATCACTGTTGGCACATACTTTGAAAGCTACGCACTTATTGAAAACATAGAGTACATAGATATAATAATAACAATACTACTACTCATCATAACACCCACATCGAAAAATCTTTGCTGACGCACGCACGCACGCACGCACACACGCACACATAGCTATGTGCTATACACCGTGAAATAAGAAACTAGAAAGGCGTATTAATCTGGGTGTGTATGTGTGCCTGTGTGTGTGTGTGTTATGTCACAGGTGCTCACGCATAAACTCATAGGCACTCACTATTTGAGATGATTAAAGAATCTCAATACACTGAAATCCTATTGGTGCTCATTTACACATTGATGTATATTAATGTGTACAGGTAAAAGCAAAACCAACCAATAGGTGGCGTGCGTACGTGCCTGCGTGCCTATGTGTGTGTATACGTGTTCAGTTGTCCCTAACATATCTATTTCAAGGTAATCACGTGAATCATTGAACAGTAATTTGATGTAGTAAAACAAAATGGTTAACAAAAAGAAAAAAAATAGAAGAGTACAGTGTACTTTTAGAAATTTTTATGATATAATTTAACAGTTAACACTTGTCATTTTTGTTTTTTAGAGAACGTGATTTATTTTTTAATCATAGCAATGATGCCACATGTCTTAATTTTAAAATAACGTATTTAACAGAAAACGAATTGTGTACACTATTTCTGATTATGGTGGTGGGCGAGTTAAGTGCTAAATCATGAATTAATAGAAGTTAGAATTCGTCAACAGGAGGGATTTGAAAGAGGTTACTTCATTCACTCACTGATCTAGGGAGCATTGTCTCAACTACAGGAGGAACGGATGAGGATGTCAAATCGAGAATCGGAAAGGCAAGAAACACATTTATCAACCAACTGAAACCAATCTGGAAATCTTCATCACTCGGCATTAACACCAAAATTTGGTCCGATTTTCAATACAAACGTCAAGTCAGTCAGCTCTTCTATACGGATCAGAAACTTGGGGGGGGTGACAAAGAATATTTCCAGCAGCATGTTGCAGACCTTTATCAACCAACAACTGTCAGCTATCGCTCTATACTGAAGATCAGATGGCCGCGGCGGAAATAATCACCAGCAAGAAGCTATGGGAAGAAACAAAACAAGAGCCAATCGCCAACCAACAAATATGCAGGAGAAAATGGATGGAGATGGATTGAACACTCGCTGCGGAGTCTGGTTGGTGACATCGCGCGCGTGTCAGGCCACTGCTCGAGTGGAACTCGAAAGGGAAGATGCGGGTGGGTCGTCAGTGCGAGGGTGATATTGAGGAGATCGTGTGAAGAGGAGTTGAAACAGTATGGACTAACATAGATGGATGTGAAAAGTACAGCTGAAGACAGAAGCAAGTAAAGACGTGCAGTTGAAGCCGTATGTTTCACTAGGAATCCAAGGGAAAAATAATAATAATATAGAATTCATGCACTAGCCATTGAGTAGTCGGGTCCCACTGGCTGCTGAATGTTATACGAGCCAGCCTGACTTGTGACAGGAAGGTCTTTTGTTGGAACCCTGGCGGTGGGTTCATACTGCCTATGACTCCCAAACAGCTGACTGTCCAGTACTCCCGCCTGGTTTATTGCTATTCATAAGTATATCAATATGAATAATTAACTGTGCTCAAGATGACTTCCAGTTAAATAAACTTGGCTAATATAGAATTTTACGAATTGATAACCAATTGATATCATTTAGAGACGTCGTGACCACTGAGGTCCATTGAGTCAAGTGTGAGTATGGATTTCCAACCGACGACAGTGCTTGGTAGTCGCGCTAAATCACGAATTAGAAGTTAGAATCCATGGACTGGTCATTGAATCGGGTGTGAGTGGCTGGATGGTATATGAGCTCGTTAGCCTTGTAACTGGAAGGTCTTGAGTTTGAACCCTGACGGTGTGTGAGTACTGTCGATGAATCCCAAATTAGGCTGACGAAACAACCGGCTGTCCAGTCCTCCGTTGCTGGTTTCCAATGCCTCTCTAACTGATATCAGTTCGTGGTCAAACTTGTATAAACAAATCTTATCCCTACAAACCAACTCTTGGAATTCCACAGAGGTAAAAATATCTACAAAAATAACAAGTGGAGTCTTATTTTAATGGTGTCATTTTCTACACAACATCTCTAGCACTCGCTTCAATGTGTAGTGAGTTTTTTTATCTACAATTCTTCATGGATAGGAGAATTCTTGCTTTTGATGACCTTTGGGAACCACTGTCAAGGTCATCTCGAGGATTTAATTGTTGAAAATGTTGCCCAGAGGGAAGATGAAAGCTTCGCAGTACGGCATAGTTTAGTGATTGGCAGTATCTTAAAAAATTGCTCATCAAAACATCAAGGAGAAAAGAAGAAAAAGCTTAGCAAATGGTTATCTTTTTGGCAATTTCACCTTCAAAAGTTGTCCCCCTTAATAACGAAGGCAACTCAAAGTGACAATAATTCCCAACTCGATAGGAAAGTAACTCCATTATGGATAAGATTTTATTTTGATAAATTACACAGTGATGTTATACAGTAATATTAACTGATGACCACGTTTCAAGCACAAATTATTGCCACTCATAATCATCATATCAAGGCACCACTCACACAACTTTTTACTTCATTTATGTACTTGAGTGGGAGTGATGATTAGACATTTGAATAAAAATCAATATGGGATAATGTACATTCAGAAATATTAATAATAATATGAGTGTTATTTATCAATTACAATCAGATGGAAAGTAAGACGATTGTTTTCATAATCATACTAAGTAACTTGTTAGAATGTTGTGATATGTTTGAATTGAAATGGAATTTTCAGGTTATTTACTATCCTCCTTTGATTTAAATGACTGGCGGTAATAATATCTTCCATACATATCTCTGGTATTTGCATTGAGTCATTTCTACTGTATGTGTTGGGAGTAGATTCAATGAACCAGGATTCAGTAATCAATCTTTCTCTCTCTCCACCTTCATAGATTAGTTCTTAGAATATTAACCGCTTCCCACCCTACTGTGTGGTTGTCTGTTAATACATTCATTGCAGTCGCTGAGCTTTTTTCTAAATTACTTATCTTCATGGGGTCAACCATTCCTACCTTAGCTAAATTCTTAGTTCCGACTGGAAATCCAATTACCCATGACCTACTAGTTTGACCTACATAGTTGACCTCACAATCATTGCAAGGTATTTTGTAAACTATATTATTTCATCTAATTGGGTCAACTGACAGGGTCTTTTAACCTACAGAGCTTGTTCTACCTGAGTGAGTTTGTAGGTTTAAATGCCACTCTAATTCTGGCTTTATTAAGAATCCTACATAGGGTCTCAGATGTCCCCTCCTTATTTGGTATAAACTACTGTGGATGCCTTATATTCTTTCCTATTTCTGTTATCATTATTAGTTTCAGCAGTATTTTTTATTTTGCTTTTGACCTATTTTTGATATTCTTAATGACCTATGTAACTGACATTTTATTTCCCATCTGATTGTATTGGATGAATAACACTCATATTATTATTATTATTATTATTCATGAATGTACATTATCCTGTATTGATTTTTATTCAAATGTCTATTCATCAATTCCACTCATGTATACAAATGAAGGAAAAAGTTGTATTGTAACAACAGAAGACAAGGGCCAGGCAACAGATCGTTTTATTACGAAAATCAACGCGTATTTATGTATATTTTATGTACATTAATAAGGCTTATGCAAGCAGAAAAAGGCAGTCTTCTAATTGGTTGTTTCCCGGAAGTTAAGCAGACAAACACAGTCTCCTGATTGGTTGTTTTCGATTTTTCTCGGAAAGTAGAGCCATTTATCTGTGAATCCTATTTGCCCACGTTTAAGTCTGCTGTGATTGGTTGTTGAATCAGCCTAGATTAATGTCTACCGATTGGCTAGCAGCCTGCTCTCACCACAGTATGAGTTACTTGATATGATTAAGAGTAGCAATAGTTTGTCCTAGAAATATGGTCATCAGTATAACACCACTTTGAGTGTGACTTTATCAAAATAAAATCTTATCCCTAATGGAGTTACACTCTACCATAGTGGCCAAGTTTTATACATATATCGATTGGAAAGTATGAAGGTGATTGAATATCGATCATAATAATGACAAAGGATTAGAAAATTGTTGCGTTATACATAAAATAGTTCTTTAATAATAACAAGTGCAGATAGGACGTGCGTGAAAATAAATTGAAAAAACAAAAAAAGAGGAAAACTAAGGAATGAAAGTGAATAACATCTATGGTTAATGCAGAAGTTGAACTATTTGCTTATGGTGAATATAGAGAAGGCTGCTGTAGTAGAACATACGCTGCCCTAGGTAGATTTTTGTTCGTTTTGTAAATGATTCTGCATGATTCATCATTTAAATTGGTGTGAGAGGTGTTGTACACAAGGTATTGTGGATCAGTGCACCTTGTTTGCAGATGTGCTGCATAATGTTATCCAACACGCACAGAATAACTTATGTATACAGCTACGTGAATGGTCACATGCAGGGATGAGGGTCACCTACAGAGTACCACTGTTGATGCTGCTTCAGGGAAGGTCTTGTTTAGGAAACTAGAGATTCACGTCTTTGTGATATCCGCCGTTAAGTGTCACCTGTATTCTCCTCTTTATTCTCTCTCTTAGCGTCTTGTTCGATTCTTAATACTACCTTTAGATAGTACGTAGATTTGTGTGTATGTCTGTCGCTTGTGTAGGTGTACCACTGCAGTTGAATATAGGAATTACGTTTTATTTTATGGATTATTCTGAGTTCCCTACTGATTTATTTTTCAGTCAGGCACTGCTTCTGTACGAGTGAGAAACTTGCACTGTGTGTCACCAAAAACATTTTCAACAAGTTAAAAAGTTTTTATCAACAGCTGACCACTTCGTTGTATGTCTCCATGCTAAGGATCGATTGGCCAGCTGAGGAGAAAGAAGTGACAGCAAGAAATTCTGGCTGAAAAAAAATCAACAAGCAAAAGCCGATCGCGTCAGCGGTACAATGCTTAGTACTCTCGCCAACCATGAACATGGTCGGGAATTCGATCCCCTGCCAACACACACCTGATATCAATTGGCCGGCCTGAAATATTTGGGCTACCGATATCACATGCTGAAAATTCCATATTTATACTAGAAGTACTGTTTTATAATTACTACTGAACGCAGAAACTTCTGGTTAAAGGGTGAGCTAGATGACCATTCAGCTAGTGAGATGAAATTTGATGGCCAATAAATTTCTGACATTTTGTGATATATATATTGTGCAGCTGTCTACAAGGCAAATGTCTATCCTCGTAACCAACTTGATGGATCCTGCTGATCATGGCTTCTCATCAAAACATTCAGGCAACTCCATTCTGTAGTCAACTGCTAATGAGCACAATCCTAAGAGTACCTCACCACTGTGCTACCGATGCACCAAATTTTCTCATTACTAGGGCAATAATTCAGATAGTGCATTCACATTAAATAATATTGTTCAACAAGTAAATGACTATAAAATTAAGTCACGTGGAAATATTAGCGACAATGTAGTAATGAGAACTGTTGGTAATTTCCTATCTGACACACTCTTCTCATCGCGTGAAATGTGTGCTTGCCAAATAAGGTATCACAGAATTTTTGTATTTAGTTGTCCAAACATACAGTGTTCTATAGATACTTCTAGTTCTACGCAGCTGTTGAGGTGCGAAGAGAGAGCTGTCTGTGTATAGAAAAGATGTTTAGAGGCTGACAGGATAATATTCATTGTTTTTCTTTCAGGAATCCAAGTAACAAGTTGGTTTTGAATACCCATCAGTCGTCCTACTGACCGGCTCTTAGTGGCCTACGCAGCATAACAAACAGAGTCTTTCATAAGTAACCAGGGAAACAGTTAAGAAGTATAAGCAGAATAGAAGAATTAACAGACGATACTTCCATGAGTAAATTGTGTTTTGATGTTTTGACGTTTCGATGACACAATTTATTGCCACTCATAATCATATCAAGGTACTCACCAGACTTCTTAACTTCATTTATATAGTTCCATTATTTTTCACTTGATTTGATTGGTAGTAGTATTTTCTATGTTTCAGGTAGGAGTGATGAATCATTTCTGTTGCATGTGTTGGGTGTAGACTTGATGAACCAAGCAGGATTCAGTAATCAGTCTCTCTCCCTCTCTCCATCTACATATATTACTCCTTAGAATTTTAACCCTCTCCCACCCAACTTATTGTGTGGTTGTGTTTCAATGCATGCATTGCAATTGCTGGGCTTTTTTTTCTAAATTACTTATCTTCGCAGGTTCAATCATTCTAACCTTAGCTAAATTCTTATATTCCAACAATCTGACTACCACCGACCTACCAGTTTGGCTGAACTATGTAGTTAACTCCACTTACAGTCATTGAAAAGTATTTTGTAAACTATATTATTTTGTCTTAATGGATCAACAGGGTCTTTTAACCTACAGAGCTTGTCCTACCTGAATGAGTTTGTAGGAGGGTTTGAATGCCACCACACTGATTCCTGCTTTATCTGGAATCCTACGTGGGGTCTCAGATGTCCCTTCTTTATATGGTATAACTGTAGATATGAGATATCAGTAAACATTACAGTATAACACTGTGAGCCTTTATCAAAACAAAACTTACCCATAATGGAATTACACTCTACCACAGTGTACAAATTTTATTCTTATATCAGTGTCAACAAACTGTAACAGTGAAGATGGAATGATACCAGATTGTCGTAATTTCCTCTACAAAGAACGTCTAATGAAATATTTTTCTGGAAACTAACTTGATGTGGGATGACCAAGGAAGTTGATTAGAGGAAATACACATTCTAAGGCATATTTAACATTTGATTTGGTTTCAACTTCAGTGCCATCAGTGATAGTGGAACCAGGTTCAAACTAACCGGTTTACATAGGCCTCACTTGAGCCTAAAAGTGAAATTAGCAACCTGATTGACATTCATAGGGATTAAACTTAAGACGATTTAACCTCAAGCATCACTGACTATTCATTTTCAAACAGTCAGACTGAGAACTCACCGCCAGCACAAAGACAATCAGATCATCTGCATACTTAACAAAATTAGCTCCATCACAACGACACAGAGGGTGATATATGCGTACTATAAAAGAATCCAAGCATCTCTTTAATGCTTCCTAGCTTTCTATATTATTTTATTTTTATTTTTGATTACAGCTTGATTCCACACCATTTTTTTCGGTACAGGTAGTGAATTTCCCGCATGAGATATCGGTAGCTCAAATTTTGCAGACCGACCAGTTGATATCAGGTGTGCACCAGCAGGGGATTGAACCCCGGACCATGTTCATGGTCGGCGAGAGTCCTAACCACTGTGCCACCGACCCACAGTCAGCTATCAAACTTGAAGACATTACCTGCTGATAAAATGAGCACAGAGTAAACAACGGACGCACACACCCACCCATCCACACACACACACACACAAATTACTAGTTAATTATTTAATTTTATTTATAAATGAAAGAAAAACGTACCAAAGAGATGGGTTAATTCACTTAAAAATATATACATACACATGTATATATATATATATAAATGTATATCTTACCTTATTATTCTTTCAGATTGGAAAATGTGAGGATCCATATTTGAATACATCTCGTTCATTAATTAATTAATTAATTAATTCATTAATTAATTGATTAATTTTGACGGTCACTAACATAACAAGAAGAAGTACTTTGACTGTAAGCTAACTAGTTAGCTAGCTAGCCAAATGTATTTGACCTAAATAACTAACTGTAGATTATGAATAATCTTCTCTTCAAAACCAAAAGAATAAAATATAGAATGTAAAACATATTTTTTTTAATATTTTGTAATTAGAGTACTTTTAAAGTAAAAGAAAGTTTAAACAAAAATGTTTAGCGTGTACAAGCGTAGGCAGCCGAGAGAAGATAGAGCATACCAAACACATATAGGCAAAAAATGCACACAAAAAAATGCAAATTCAAACAAGGCTGTCGTATTTTTACTATTATGATTATTATTATTATTGAACCGTTCACTTTCTGTCTCGTGCTCTACACAACTCTTTTGAAAAGAAATGGCATCATGCATTTTTGGCTACTGTCACTCACTCACTCACTCTTATTGTATTCAAGCAATCATGCATGCGTTTTTGGGAAAATGCAAGTAAAACAGAATGCAGCAGTACACTCAAGTAATCTTTTTTTTGTTTTTTTATATTTTTTGATTGAATTTTGGATTTCCCCGTTGATGGTGATTGAATCGAAGTGCTAGGTGTCGGTCGGCTTCTTGTGTAGATGCTTCATTGATGTCTGGGCATTTAATTAACAGATAATTAATGGTTGATAACTAGCAGTGGAATCTAGGATAACCCGTTTTTCGTCCTATTTGAGATTCGTCTACCAGCTGGATACACCTGCATTTCCCACTCAGTGAGTGATGATGTTCCCCGCATCGAAGCTCGAACCCAGTGTCTATATTTTCCAAAGTCAAAGTGTTATCCGGTCCAATCAGTCAATGGGAAAATCTAAAATTGAATTTAATGATTAATATAACCCGTTGCACAAGAAAGAGGTGGCTCTCATGATCCAAGTGGTCTAGTGGGTAACGCTTTAGCGTTTGAAACTATGGCCACATGGTTTAAGCCTCAGTTCACGGAACATCATCACTCACTGAGTGGAGAATACAGATACATCTAGCTGGCGGACAGGTCCCAAATAGGAAGAAATGTGCGTCATTCTGGATTGATTCCACTGCTGTTTGTCATCCACCAGTTAACTTTTTCCTTCTGTTTTGTGGTATTTCTGATCTTCCCCGTTGCATGTGGATAGATTGTCTGACTGACTGATTGACTGACTGTTCGTCGGCTTTATCTTCTGTGCTGAGAAACTGCATCAGATTCTGTTTTTTTTGTTTAACAACACCACTAGAGGATTGTTAATTCTAGTCACTTACTTGTCACGGGGATTGTATTTATCTGAACTATCATAGTGCTCAAGTTTTACACTTATATCAACAGACAATTTAGTTAACTAACCTGCAATACGTGCTCCACACGGTTGACCTTCATTCCTTTTTTATAGATATAGGGGAAATAAAAAGAAATAGAAAAAAGAGGAAGTATTAGACAATGATGAATGATTCACTTAGATTGTCTTATTACTGTATTCACTGAGAAGAAGAGGAGGAGAAGTATTGGAGGTGTTCTGATCTGACTCCAGGGGGGGGCATTACACTGCACTACAGTCCACATTCATTTCCAACGACTATTTGTCATCAACTCGTGCATCTTGCCTATTTTTCTTCACTGTTCACCCATGCTTATTCTTTCCTGGATTGCTTAAATAAAGACTATGTCATACTATGTCGTAGAACTCTGAAGACTGTCAGTAGGACGAGTGGTATCCCATTGGGCCATACTGTCATTGATAGGCACTTGGTGCCATGGAACCAATTTGCTAATGAAATTTTGTCAGACTGTTAGCATCCATAGCAGTACCTGCAGCTCCAACCTTGTGTCTCCTCAGGTAAAACAACATAAGTCATTTCAAAAGACTTTATTCACGTACGTCTAAGTATATAAATTCCACCATACCATATTTGGCACGTACTTTATGTGATAAAAAAGTGTTAAGCATGAACTAACTAACTAACTAACCTTCTTTGTACTACTAAATAAACCATTTCTACCACCCTTACAGTACCAAATTTTATTGTTATTGCATTTCTTATATTTAAAATGCACTCAATTTTTTATTTGTTTATTTTCTCAAAAGTGTGAACATCATTTAAGCTGTGTTATATAACTATTAATTTTGCCTTTCCCCTCACAATGCTGCTATATCAACAGAACATTAGATTCAATACTCTATAACATTCTGAAATTTCCAAACTGAATCGGCAATACTGTTTGAAACAAACTCACTTTTGTTACTATTACTACTATATTTAGTATTCTCTATTCGTGCTTCGAATATTTTTGACTTTATATCGTAAACGTGGACAAATTCCTCTGGTTACTTTTGTTTACATTTTTATTTTTATTTGTATTTTGAGTAAATCACATGCAATGTATTGTGACAAATTGTGAGAATTCCATTCTGTTTTATAAGTACTGTCTGTTTCGGAATAAAGTAGATTATTATTTTAGTAGTAGTAACTTTGCAATTCTACGTATCATCATCGGACAAATAGATAGAATGCCAGTTAAACCTTTATCTTCACTTCATCAACTTCAAAATGGCCTTCGATAGCGTTGACCGAGAAGCGATCAGGAAAAAAATGCTTCAACATTACAGCCAACTCATTCAAGAGCTGACTATATGACAATGCCAGGTAGGGTTATGTGATCCACAACAGAAAACTAAGCAACAACAACAACCAGTAGTAATCACCATTAACGCGAGAAATTTAACAGAGATGAGTTTCTTGACTTATCTGAACAAGAAACGTGGTTTCAACTACAGGCACACGGCACCAACAGACTGATTGGCGATGGAATCTCACCACGGATCCCAAAAGCTCGAGCTGCTTTCGCTGACTTACACCATCTCTGGCGTAGGCGTGACATTCGGTTATCAACCAACGGACGTGTGCACTGCTCATCAGTTCGCTCCGTCCTTCTCTATGGCTCTGAAACATGGCCAATACGAGTTGAAGACATGAAAAGGTTGACTGCTTTCGATCATAGATGTCTGCGATCTCTGTCTCACGTTAGGTGGTTGATTAAGACAAGTAATGTTGACGTTAGGCGTAGAGTGTTGGGCAAAGAGGGAAAATCAATCGACGAGGCTATAAAGTTACATAGACTAAGATGGCCAGGTCACGTGCTGCGCATGCCTAACCATTGCCTCCCCTGACGGGCTTTGCTAGCTGATATAGGTTCAGGTTGGAAAAGAGCCAGTGGTGGCCAAACAAAAACATGACATCAATCCATGAAATCCTTGACAGTTAAACTGAGTAAGGTAGGGAGATGCAGACTCCCGGGTTGGGGCCCTCGGGACTCTAGGAATCAATGGCTGGAGACAGTAGGTGACATGGCTCGAAATCGTTGTCAATGGCCAGCGCAGATGTATTCTATCTCTGTAATCTTTCATATTCCTTTCTACATATTACCCATTCTGTTTCACTCTTATACTTGTCAGACTCTATTGATTCTCTTCACTCATCTTCTTGTCTACCTCTGTGTGCTATTTGGAACGTGGCAACTCAAACTGCTGCACTTCGGTGCCAAGTTCTATGTTGAATCCAGACAGACAGACAGACACGGCAGGGATGAAGATGTGAAAGCAGGTCAGAATCAGGAAGGCAAGATATTCCTTCATCGATCTGAAACCAGTCTGAAAACCTTCTGCACTGCACTTACTCAGCATAAACAACAAAATTTTCGGATTCTGTTGAACACAAATATGAAGTCAATCAGTCTGTCAGTCCTTCTATACGGGTCAGAAACTCGGCATGCATGTAACGAAATGGATTTTCAACAGACACTTGCAGACTTTTATAAAGAGCTGTCCACTTTCCTGGCTCCATACTGAAGATCACATGGCAAACCGGCTGGCCAGCCAGAAGGAATTGGCAACAAGAAACTTTGGTTGGCAACAAACCAAAAAGGAAGAACCGGTCGCTTAACAAATATGTAGGAGAAAATGGAGATGCATTGATCGGGCATTCAATAGTGAGATTTTTGGATGCCATATCGCGAAATTCAGGCCACTGCTCGACTGGGATGGAGTGACCAGTGTTGACAAGATTTTCTATTATTGCACTCCTTTCAGAGTTACTACTGCCTTTTTTAGCCATATAAGATAGTATTCTTGAACCCTTTTCAACAGGATACACGTTGAGTGACCAATATATCTGACTCCACAGCAACGGATGAACCGACATATTCACAAAGGATGAGTCAGACTCAAGATCTTGTCGTTAGGGCTTCTGCAGACCAATGGACAGCCAGTGAACTCTACTTTTAGCGTTGCTGCAGGGAGAATTTTTTCCTCAAGGATGCTGAAATTCTCCCTTTTTCGATTGTAGCTTGATTCCACACCATATTTTTGGCACAGGTATGGAATCTTCATCATGTGATATCGGTGGCCCAAATTTTCCAGGCCGACCAATTAATATCAGAAGTACGTCGGCAGGGGACCATGTGAATGATTGGCGAGAGTTGCAACCGCTATGTCACCAACGCACAACACCATTGTCATTGGCAAGTGCCTGTCCTACATTACGACTTGGTGAACCTCACCAGTCACAACTGCCTATTAGAACCTCAAGAACCCGAAGATGGTGATCTCAATCTTTAACTAACTGATAGATGCTTACATCTGAAAAGCATCAACATCTGACGAAACGCCAATCAATCCAATGCCATTTCAACTAAGAATATCAGTTTATTCATTTAAACAAGGCTAATACAGAAAAGGACGATTTATCATTCACTTAATGACTTACTTTTTCAAACTATACGTTGTCCATACACCCTCATTCAAATACTGGCTAGAACCTGATTTCAGAGTATGTTTCAGTGTAGTTGAATGTGATAAACTTTGATCACCTGTTAAACTTCTTGATCGTTTCAACTGTTGCAGCTCTCTTTGTGTATTAAGCAGTTCATCTTGTAATTTCATTTCACGTTCACTCATCCCTGTGCCAATTGAATAAGGCAAATGTGGTAGACTACCTTGACGATTATCCACTGAGACAAGATCAATTCTAGACGCTCCTCCAGATGGCTAATGAAATAAACAAAAGCAAAAGTAGGAAAACACATTTATACATTGAAATAGAAGTAGCATCCTTGAAGATTAACGAATCAAGAATAGGAGATTCTGAAGAATTCGGAAAACCAAACAGACAGTTTTAAGTGTTAGTTCGTAGTTGTCTGACTGGTTTCAGTATAATCGTGTATAGATATCGGTTAGAGAACTGGACAGACGTTTTACCCTAGCCCTCTCTTTTCAGCCGTAATCACCCACCACCTCATCGAAGACAAAGTTGACTGAAGTTCTAGGGAGAAGTTGTAACCAATAGGGCTGCCTAAGTCAGGTGTTAGGGCGAAACGCAATCGATAATACTGGCTAGCTGTCGCTCTGAAAAGTCATAAATTGATAGGCATTAAAATTCACGGGACAGTGGATTTCGTTTCAACGGTTAATTGTTCAGCGAGCACTCTCCTTATTAAGAGTCTCAAAGTAGGTCAATGCGGCAGTTCAGTACTCCCTGCTCTTCAGTGGTTCTTCAACTAATAGAAACCTGTGTTAACTAGACGTTTCATCATTTAAATAACACAGCATGGATTTAAAACTTTCAGATGGGCTTCTTCGAGAGGAACTTTTTGAAGTTTTTATATCAAAATACTGCACAAAACAATGTCATGGTCGCCTAGGTACTAGGCAGATTGCAAAGCTTGATCGATGAATATATATATGTGCAAAATTGGGCACTTTAGTGTGGTAATAAGTAATTCCATATTAGTGTGTTTATTAGATGTATCACACAGGCACTGAAAATATATTATTATTGTTTGCTGGAGGTGTGTGTGGTGCAGGTATGTAGATGATAAATTCACTGTACTTAGAACACATGATTAAGATAAATTTTTCGAATACATTAACTTAAAGGTCGAGACGATTCGATTCCCTTATGATGAATTGGAAAGTCAGGAAGAAGAGCTTTCAATGTTTGACTGTAGAGTGAAAAGAAAAGAAGATGGGAGGTAAACACTAGTGTGTGTGTTGACAGGAAACCACACATTCAAACAGAAATTTGGACTTCTGATCATCCCATCCTATGTCAGTGAAAATATACGATTGATGAAATGTTTAAGTAATAGAGCAAAAAAACAAATTAGTACCAAGGAATATCTAAGACAGGAAGCGAGCGTATTGCAGAAACTTTGAAAGTTAATTAATAATTACCCTGATAAATTAGTCAGAAAATATGTAGGAAAATGTAAAAATAAAATAAATAATGATAATAGCGATAGTGATAATAAATGACGACATGCATGTCAAATATGCTCAAGATAATGACAACACCAACAATAAAGGAATCTAAATCATCAGTAGTAATTCCATACAGAGAAGGAGCCTCGAAAACCTTACATAGAATTTTGACAAAGCAGGAATAAAAATCGCATTGAAACCCGCAAACTCAATTAGAAACAAGCTTTGTCGTTTAGGGGATCAATCCTGTGAAGCCTTTAAAACAAAACATTCAGTTTATCTAATACCCTGCCTGCAATCATTGTCGGGTCAAATACATACGTCACAGTTGTAGAACAGGTGCAGTCAGAATAGAGGTAGCACAAAAAACTAGCTTAATCTAGATCAGCTGACCCGAACAATATCAGAGATCTGGATAGGTAGTTCAGCTATAGCACTCACTACATGCAATTACACACAACCAAACAATGGGATGGGATAAGATGACAGTTTTAAAATCTAATGTAACAACTGCGTGGAGGGAGATATTGATAACAGAAGCTTTGTTTATCGAATTAACTGGCAGGGAATACATGTAATAGGAATGATTGAACACCTGTCCACGCAGACATCTGAAAAATTCTACTACCACGCCCACGACAACAAAAAAGAAAGAATAAAGAAAACTATAAAACTCAAGTTTCGAAGTTGTGTGATTATAATTGATTGGTATGATTATGAACAGTAATAGACTGTGTTCGAAACTGTGTCATATAGTTAATAATACTGTTTCAATGGCTGTATGATACATCTAATAAACAAACTAATATGGAATTGTTTCAGGTACATCCAGATGACGAGTTCCAAACAGGACGAAATGCGCATCCTGAATTCCACTGCTAGCCACCATCCACCAATTGTACGCTAATATGGAATTGATCGATAAATACCAATTAATAATTCCGATCATCATCCCATTGGCAGTTTGTGGATAAATTGAGAAAAAATGGTGGTTAAAAGGCAGTTCAGCATTTCAACTGATTGATCAAGTGCTAACACAAGAGATTTATTATTTGACATACTGTGACACAATACAACCGGTAAGATCAATCCACTTCAGTAATTACCTACTCTAATTTCATGGACTATGGGATACCAGTGGCTTCACAGTCTACGAGCTCGCCTTGTAACCTGAAGGTTTTTTTAATCGAACCCTGGTGTTGGGTGCACACTGATGAAGTGCCTCAAAATCAGGACGAAACAACTACCTAGTACTCCCTGATGGCTTCTCAATGATTCTATAACCGATGTCAGCTCATGATGAAATCCTGAAACCAGTCAAATGGTTGCTAAACAACACTCAGATCTCACATCAGGTGTGTAAATGTATATGTGTTATATGTTTCTGTTTGATAGAGTCAGTCATACAGTCACAGGTCAGTAGTCTATATCTTCTTACATTTTTGTAGCTCATCGAAGCGTAAGTGAGAAAAGTCGCCTTCAGTAGCTCATTCGAGGTATAACATTAGGTTTAGAGCCTGTATACCTACACTAACCTCATACGAATGCTTCTGTCTGGTTAAGAGACCTGATGCGTGTATTACGAAAGAGTTTTCAACAGGCTATTGTAGACTTTAACCAAAGGCCACCCTTGCTTGATGATACTGACGATTAGATGTCTGTCTGTCTGTTTTCGACATAGAACTATGCACAAATGTGCGGAAGTTCAAGTCGCCACACTCCGTGTAGCACGAGAAGCAAGAGAAGAAAGTACAAGAAAAGCATAATAGAGGCAATGAGCAGAGTTGTGAGACAAAGGAGTAATAAAGAAAAACAAAACAGTTTCATTGGAGATCATAAGTCACAAGGAGTGGATGCATCTGCGCCATTGAGGACGATTTTGAGCCATGTCACCAATTGTTTCCAACCATAGATTTTTACCGTCCCGAGGACCCCAGCCTGGAAGTCTACACCTTCCTACGTGGCTTAGACCAACTGTTGTGGATTTCATTGACTGGTGGGGCCAAGTTTTTGTTTGACCGCCGCTAGCTAGCTTTTTTCCAGCCTGACACTATATCCGCTAACATTGCTCGTCGAGGGAGGTGATGACTAGGCATACGTAACACATGTCCTAACCATCTCAGTCTTTGTAGCTTCACGACTTCGTCGATTGATTTCCCCTGTTTACCTAGAACTCTACGCCTAACCTCAATGTTGCTCACCTTATTATGCCACTTTACACGGGAAATAGAACGCAGGCACCTATGATCAAAGACAGCTAGGAAGATTAGATGGCATAAACAACAAAGAACTCTGTCAGCGTGTACCAACCATGAACTTATCACTGCTGACTGAAATCATGAGACAGAGAAATTCTCGACTGGGACCCGAATGAAAAACAGCAAGTAAGATATTCTAGGGTGACATAGAGAAAATAATATGAAATGAAAATAAAAGCCTATGGGATATCGCGAAGTTGGCGGTAAGAACGAAATGAAGGTGTGCACACCTCTTATTTCAAACAGTCGAATCAGTAAGCATTTCCACTGTATGTATGTACATAATTTTCATAGAAATACAAATATCAGTGGCTCTATGACAGCACTTATCATGAATCTCAAGCACTTAGAGTAACAAACTCCCCTCTGATATTCATAAATCACCCTATGATTGATGTCATTTAGTATATGCTGACCAGGTAGTGGAATTCAGTTTGAAAGCCTCAGTCACTGAACTGAAAGCTATTGACTATTTTTATTTATTTTTGATTACAGCTTGATTCCACACTGTATTTCTGGTACAAGTATGGAATTTTCAGCATGGATATCGGTAGCCCAAATTTCGCAGGCCCACCATAGATATCGGGTGTGCGTCGGTGTGGGCTCGAACCCCGAACCATGTGCATGGTCGGCGAGAGTTCTAACCACTGTGCCACCACTAGATGGTAACACACTTTAACGTCTTCAGACATTAGGGTAACTGAATCTAACCACGCCTGATTTAATCAATAATCTGTTCACAAATATTTCGTGGTTGGTAATACTTTTTTTCAAGTATCGGTTTTGTAGGGATTTTGATTTCGTTTGGTTGGAGGATTTCATCATGAGGTGACATCATTTAGAGAACCAGTGAAAAAAAATAGAAAAAAAAGGCAAGGAGTACTGGACAGCCAGCTGTTTCGTCAACCTGGTTTGGGACTCCTCAGCAGTACACACCCACCACCGAGTTTCGAATACAAAAATATCAATCTGGGAAAAGTCATTTTATTTCACCTTTATTTTCATCTCTCCTACCTCTTATGTGTATTTTCGACCTTTCATATTTTGTTAAATTTTATGGAAATACAGAATGACTAGTACGTATGTGTATCTGTGTGTGTGTGTGCGTGTATGTGTGTGTGCACGATCGGAATGTCCGGAATATATATATGTTGTACAAATACACATATTACACGTATCGGGTAAATTATGTCTTCTTCTTCTTCTCCTCGTTGTTTCTGCTGTTGTTGAAATTCATAATGGGAAACTAGCCGTTTTAAATCGATAAAGAAAAGTATTACCATTAGGGGGAGAAATTTCCCATTTCCCTTATTGCCTTTTCTTTTCATTCCCTTTATGATTTAGAAATTGAAATATATATATATATATATACACTATTGACATTTTGAAATATTGATGAAAACAGATTTGTAACTACGATGAATGTGGAATTGAATTTTAGATTTTCCCATCGATTGATTGAATCGAAGTGTTCGGTCTCAGGTTGACATGTCAGTCGGCTTCTTGTACAGATGCTTCGACGATATCTGG